AAGAAAGAAAGAAAGAAAGAAAGAAAGAAATCCCCAAGAGGCTTCCTGTGCCAGTCTAGATGGGTGGAGCTAGTCACCTGGTCGATCTCTGTCACTCTGTCATCCCAGGCTCTCTCTTTCCATCATCTTGGGGATTCCTTTCCCACATTCTTTCTCTATCCTTTTTTTTTAAATTTTTTCTTCATATTGATGGTTGATTTTTAGTTTTGTGGAGTATACAAATTTTAAAGGCTTCCGACTCATAGTTAAGAGAAGATCTGATGCCTCACTTCTAGAAGAACCACATGCCACCCACTTCTGAGCTGTAGATTCTGAGAAGCTGAGTCAGAGTTCACCTTTCTCCTCTTTAGCTTAGCCTTCAGCTCTCTTTCATCCTTCCCATCCATCTTTCTGGGTTACAAAACTTGATAGCTATTGCCTCCTTTTCTGTTTTCCTTGTCCTTTGGAGTTTAATGTATTTTTTTAAAAAATTACTTTATAGCAGTTTGATAGGATCTCAGAAGGAAGTGGAAATATTTAATCTGGCAACTCATCACAGAAATCCTCTCATCTCTTCTGCTCTTCAAATAGTGTTACTTCTTCTGTGAATCCTCTAGAACTGAGAGCAGACACCTCTGACATGTGCCCTCTGTTAACACTCTTGTGTTCCTCCCACCAGATATGTGGTAGTGGGTCTGAGTGGGACCAAAACACAAATTTATTTTTGCCTATTTCTGCCCCTTTCAACTTTCTTAAGGAAAGCCATCTTCCTCTGAATCTATAAGGAAGGTTAGCAGATCCCCACGAGTTCCTGCCTTCTCTCTTGAAAAAAGACATTTATTCACAATACCAGATTCACTAACTAGAAAGTGTTCTACCCGAAATATGTAGCAGCTCCTCAATCTTTCTTCAAAATTAGGAATTATTCCCTCCTTGCTATGACCTATAGTTGGAGCTGCCTGACTTCAGGGAAGAGGCTGTGACCAGCTTCTGCCCTCTCTCTACTCTCCTCCTGTCACTCTTGACAGTGGCCCCCAATAATACTGCATTTGCTTTTAGTTATTTTAGTCCCTGTTCTCCTATTTCAAATGGTTCAGGTGTTTCCCTGCACAGGAAGTCTAATGGAATATTCAACTGGGGAGATCTCCCAACATCATAACTGCAGGCAAGGAGGAGAGGAATCAAATCCAGTTGCCAGATTCAACAGATAAAACAATGATGATCAGGTGACTGATTATTTGGGTCTGCCTAATAATTAAAGTTGACCCTTCCCCCCCTTAGAGGTGTGTGTGTGTGTGTGTTTGTGTGTGTGTGTGTGTGTGTGTTGTTTAATCTGGGATTCCCATTCTCAGGGATTCTCCTGCAATTCCCAAGATAACCTGAAGGGGGTGCACTGATCTGTCATGCCTACCACCTGCCCTCACAGCAAGCTTTAATATGGTTTCAGCTTGAACCTTCCTCCCCATGAGTAACATTCCCACAACCTCTGTACTGACAAACTGTAGGCATGCAACTGATCCGTATACAACATCGAAGCAGTTCATCAGCCTTTCTGCTGCCCTCTAGTAACAGTTAGATGCATGGTGATCTGCAGTCCTCAAAAACAGCAAGCTCTGGGCTGGAGTTGTGGCTCAGTGGTAGAGTGCTCACCTAGCATGTGTGAGGCACTGGATTCGATCCTCAGCACCACATAAAAATAAGTAAATAAAAATAAAAGTATTGTGTCCACTACAACTGAAAAATATTTAAAAAAAAAAAAAAAGCAAACTCTCCAGATAACCATATTAAAGGTTTGAGGTGACTTTTAATGTGGTATCTCTTCCCACTTTACTCCTTGGGATAAAAGTTGGGAACTTATCACATCATTTCCTGCTAAAGAAATTCTTCTGTCTCTTCTACAGACTTGTCCAGTCTTACACAGGTGAAGAGGATAAAAGGTAAGGAACTGTCCTGGTACATAAATCCTACATCAGGCAGAATTTGCAACACATTGACTTCAACTCCCCATGTCTATTATATCACCGTCTTAATCAAAAGAAAGGCAGAAAGAGTTTCAGATTCTCAATTCTTGTTCACTTTGTCACTTATCAGTATCCACCCACTACTTCCTAAAGCTTGTTGAGGGTAAGGAGTCATTGGGGGTAGCTTCAGAATGTGGCACAAGTATATTACATGGATAGCCATCTATACATATTGATTGATTGATGGCTGAAAGAATAAATTAATCACGAGTGGATTTCTGCCTTGGACTGTGATACAATAAATGGTCAGTTATTTCTCCTCTCCTTAATCAACAGAAGTATGAGTTTCACTTCAATTTGCAGGTGTAAATTAAATAGAAGTGCTAAGTCTTGAGACAAATTACCAGTGAAAGTCTTTAAAATCTCTTTTTAAAAAAAAAAATTAATGTGAGGTCCCTATTCTCCTATTTCAAATGGTTCAGGTGTTGCCCTGCACAGGAAGTCTAATGAAATATTCAACTGGGGAGATCTCTCAGCATCATAACTCTGAAAATACAATAGCTTTGTCTCATTTCTAAGAAGAAATTGAAGCTAGATTAACATGAAATTAAGTTGGTTAAGGCCTCTTTTTATTGTTCAAGCCAAGTGCAACATGAAAAGTAAACAAATTATATTCCTATTCTAAAATTCTATGATTCTATGATATGAATAATGGAAAATAATTTGGACTTCTCAAATACTTCCAGCAATAATTTTGCAACTTCTAGTTATAAGCATTTGGAACATATTATATTAGAATTTCATTACTGAATCTTTCCCACAATAATACTGAATTTGCTTTTAGTTATTCAAAAGAGAGTGAAGCAATCCACAAAGGGTTTTTTAAAAGATTTGGGACAACATAAAATTTACCTGAAGTAAATATCATCTCAAATATGTTTTCTTTCTAACTTATTAGTTAATGAATTTATCATATGTACCTCAACCTGCTTCTCAAAAGAATTTGAGGTGGATTTCAGTTTATAAAAGGGTATTCAGGTACATAGGACAAAGATAGAAATAACAAAGGATATGGACAGAAAGATGGTTGCATATATAGAGTCAAAAATAGGTATTTACTGCACTTAAAATTTGGCTCTGAAATTTCTGAGCTTGAAACAATGGATAAAATGTAATGGTCTATGTTGAAATTGCTATAAAGTTTTTAGAAAATGGATTTTCAATAATTACTATTTTAGTTTTTGTATGAAATTCCAGGAATAATTTATCCTAAGTCTTCATAAATAAAAATTTGATGTATCTTGAATGTCTATCATGTGCCAGGTACTTACCTAAGCTCTTTATCAATAATTTAATCCTTAAAAAAAAAAAAAAAAACATGGCTAGTCAGGCACAGTGACACACAGTCCCAGCAGCTCAGGAGGCTGAGGCAGGAGGATTGCAAGTTCAAAGCCAGCCTCAGCAACGGCAAGGTGCTAAGCAATTCAATGAGACCCTGTCTCTAGAAAAGACAAAATAGGGCTGGGGAGGTGGTTCAATCCCCACTAACTGCCCCCAAATAAAAGAAAGCATGGTTAGGTGGATTATTATCCCTGCTTCACAGTTAGAAAATAAAGGCAAAAGGAGATAAATTGTCCAAGATCACAGCCCAAAAGAAGCAGTTGTCACCTAACCCAGGTAATCCACGCCCAAAGCCCCTGCCTCTGAGAACCACGCTGATGTAAAATCTTCTCCAGTGGCTCCACAGGTCACCAAGAAAGTGTCCATGTCTCACATCAGCGCTCAGGAGATGGTGCTGGCTTTTGATTTACCCTCAAACCTTGATGCTGCTGAGTTAGAATCATTGAGCTTAATGGTCCTCAAACCCCACAACCCTCTGAAATTTCTCCAGACCCCCTAGACTCATGTATGTCCCCTCTCTAGTCCCTGGAGGCATTGTGACTCTATTCTTGTGTCTGGGAGGCAGTGAGGCAGAGCTTTGGTCAGTGAGTGGAAGCAAGATCTTGTGCCACCAAATGAAGAAGGCGAATGGGCAGGAAGAGGAGGAGGAGGAGGAAGAGGAGGAGGAGGAGGAGACAACAACGATAACATTGGGTTTTGTCTTTGTCCTCTTTGAGAAAGGGTTTGTCTGCTTGACTTGCAGGTGCTAGAAATACAACTAAGCATAGACTTAAAACCAAGTAGAGAAGGCCAAATTCCTTCCAGGGATTGCTGATCTAAATGAGACAAGTAAAGAATGTTTAAATATACCAAGAGAAGTGATGAGAAGAGAGGAAGAAAGGGAGTGAGCATGTGGAACTAGCAGACAATGGGTGGAAAGCTGTTCTCTAGGATGTGACTCTCCCTGGGACCCCGCCCCCCAGTCTCCTGCCAAGTGAGAGGAAGGTGGAGGTGAAGGAGGGAGGGAAGAAGGCAAACACACAGAGCGGGAGGGAGTGAGGGAATGTGCTCGCACAGGCTAACTCCACATGAGTTTCTTCTGTAAACTGGACAAGAGACCCAATTCTGAATTTAGGGTTTGACTAAACCCAGTAGGATCCACCAGCTTCTATGAAGGAAACCAAAGACCATAAAAAGACAGCTGTGAGAACTTGCAGAGATATTAAACTGAGGTTTCTGAACCCTCCGGACCTGGGAGGTGGTTTCCTGCCAAGTTTAAGCTGATACTAGGGTTACTCTAGTTTCCATGGTCCCCAAAGGAAACCTACTCTCCACCCAGGCTCCAAGAGGCTCCCTGGGTTGGCAGCAGGTATGATAAACACAGTAGACCAAATTCTATTAAAACTCGACCTCTAAACAACTAGTTTCCAACATTTCATGAAAAGTTTCCTTAGTAATATTAGAAAGCCTTGTAAGTATAATTCCCCCTGGCCCTCACCATCACACATGCACACGCGCACACACACACACACACACACACACACACACACACACTCACACACTCATACAAAACCAAACCACAACAGTATCAACAACTACAAATACCTTTGTATCATACAAAATGATCCATGTGTATTCTGGAAAGATTACAATGACTTTGCAGGATTTTTTTTTTTTAAAAAAGAAAGAGGGAAAACAGAAACCCAACCTAGGATCATTGCACCATTGGCAATCTCTTGGTGATTATGATCTAATCTTTTTTTTAAAACTTTTCAATTGTTTTGAGAAGATGCTCCTCAGAGGCTAGGTGCTTAGGATCAGGATATGACGAACCAACACTCCAAATGATGTAGATGACAATAAGCAACAATAGTCATCAGAAGAAATAACTGTGATGATAGTAATAATCCTGGAGGTGCCATCAGAGCCCCACGTTGCCATGACAACTGCAAAACTGAAAGGGGGTGAAAGACGTAGGGAATCTTTTACCCTGGACTGCTGCCTTCCTGGAACTCCTGAGAGTGAGCTTATGCACTGTATCCTAAAGATGATTCAAATAAATAGCGATCTTTCTGTGTTGCGATTATACACAACACAGTTAAAGACAAAATGGCCTGCCAAGGTCGGAAATGATATTCTGGGGCGATGGCGGGGGCATGTGCTTGCCTTTAGGTTCTGCCTCAGAGAAACAGCTGCACAACATCTTTTTAGAGAGAATTCAGGCCAGCTGCACTGTGAGAAATATACACAACAAAATGAAAACGTTCCAGTGTTTCCATCTTCGCAGCTGTCCAGGGTAGTTCAAGTTTAATGGTGGCACACTTCGTTCTTTTAGGCACAATATAGAAACTTCTGAGTCCTGGGATTGAAATGTGAATGGATATAAAAAAAAATCTCTCCAGTGATTTTGCAAGAACATAAAGGAAATGCTGGTGCCGGAAGAGGTCAGAAAAATCCATCTGGATTGCTTTTAAGCTCAGCAGTTCTATCTTTGGGGTATTTTTTTTTTTGTTTAAAAACATTGATCACAATGTTATACAATTATATGTGAAATCGTTCTTTGTGTCAGTCCATACCCTGGCAAACACTTGGGAAGAAAATTTGTCCCATTGCTTGGGATAACCAGCTGGTCTGAACGCAGGCTGGGAGAGTGTTGTGAGAAGAAAGCTTTGGAAAGGTGGAGCCATGAAAGGTGGTCCAGTACCAGGCAGCCATGGTGTCCTCCCAACATGGTAGGTTCATCAAGCCTGGCTCGCCGTAAGCACCCAGAGCATCTGGGATGACCAGTGACCTGGAAGGAAGGCTGATGCTTCATGTCAATACAGACTCTTCTCCAGTCTCCTTCCCACATGTGGGGCAATAGCTACTAATGTTTCCTTCCCTTTCCTGAATAAGAGGATACAAGCTGATCCATTAATGATACAATCATTTAATTTAGAGAAGATTAATTTAATTAAAGGATCCACCTTGTCGTCTTTCTTTTCTTCCCAGAAGAAGTCCAAAGTCTTGTGCTTACAGTTCTCTAACTGAAAGTGAGTGATGACCAAATAATTCTTCACACAGTCCTCCGACAACACCATCAATGTCCCCGAGTGAAACCCAGTTCAGGGAGTCAGATAGAACTGTATTTAAATCCCATCTTCACTACTTACCAGCCGTGGGAACTTTATCCTTCTGAATCCCGTTTTTCTCCTTCATAGGACAAGCATAATGAAGTTACTAAAGCTGTTGGAGGATTAAAGAAAAGGCATATTACATGTCAGGTCCTGTCCACCAAGCACTTCATTTTAGGTGACAAGGGGAAATCTGGTAGCATATGTCACTGTCAGTCATTATAAGACATTTACTCACCTTAAAGGAAAGAAGAGCATGAGAAAACCATGCTATAGCTTTCTACTGAAAATCCCTTTCCAAACCAAGTGGAGTCGTTTCCATTGGAGCAAGAACACTTCGTCTGGAAGGTTTGCAGATGATGGGAACAGGCTGTATCCTGATGTATAGGAGAGGGGTCTTCTACCTTCCTACTATAAGCCCTAGAAATCTCCAAAAAGACCCTACCACTTCAAGGCTTGTCCCAAAAGAAGTTTTAAAACCCTGAAAGGCTCTGATTTATTACTGCCTGGTTATCTGATCTCAACTACAAGGAATAACCATCACCCCCATTTGGAAGCATTCTTGAATCACAGACCTGGCTCCAGGTTGCTTCTGAGGTCTCACACAGTGGCCACTTCCAAAGAGCCCCTTCCTGGTGCTGATTTAGAATTCTAGAAGCAGTCGAGAAAAAAGGCTTGGCCCTCACCATCTCCAGTGATTCGTATTTCCCCTCTTCCAGCCAAGTTGCAAGAAGAATCTCTAAAGTGGTATAAAACACATATTCAGTTATCAAAGTTTTCAGTCCTCAAGTCACTTTGATTTCATTAAAAGCAATCATTCAAAAGGACTTCCTGTAAACCGGTACCCCAAACAGACTAACATGAAGCAGGAGCAAGTGATTTGAATTCTAAGAGGTTTTCCTCTTGAAATGGGCTTTGTAGTCAAGGTTGTGATGCTGAGAAAAGATAAAAGGGAGCAGAGTCACAGATGGAGTTCAGAATGACTTGAAAATCAAATATAATCACGAAGTGTTAGGAGTTTAGCCAGATGAGCACACAGTGAAATCTCAGTCCTCCGTTCTTTCATTAAGATTTCTATTTCATATACTCCGAAGGCTGATGTCAAGGGGTGGACAAGCACAGAGGGCCCCCTAGGGAAGGTTCAGAGGGCTCCCGGTCAAGGTTGGCCCTATCATTAGGCAGAACAGGCAGTAGCCCAGAGCTGCAAAATATTAGAAGCAATGAAAACACACAGTGACTGGAGAGTCTGTGACTGACTGTAGGCTCGCAGGCACCAACATTTTTCAATCCACCTGGAGCAATAAAAGTCTTCATCTCCACCTTGCAATTCAATCAGGGGCATACAGTATTGATTCCCGACATTAAATTACACTGAGGGCTTTTTTACTATTGTTGGTGAATACAGATATTTCCCATTGTTTATAATGCCTATCACTTTGAAGGAAAAAAAAAGGGAAAAAAACTTGAAGGAGCTACATCATTTGAGACACTGTGCATTTGAGTGTTTTAATAAACAGATCTCATTGATTTACACATTTCAATTGCCTGCACTGAATCCCTAAGACCAGACCAGATTTTAAAGGACTGTAAACTGTGCTTATTTAAAGACAAGAGGAATTTTTAAAGGGCTGCCTTTCTGAATGCTGATAGTGTGTGTGTGTGTGTGTGTGTGTGTGTGTGTGTGTGTGTGTTTTGACTATAAGGACCTACATACTTTATGATAAATGATTCCAAAGCTCTCTCTTAACCAGCCTCAACACAGCTAGGAGGGATTAACCAGGGCTTTCATTTCCCTCCGTAAAATATACTGCTTGGTGCTATAGAATGCTGAATTCACACAATTAAGAGCCCACTCACCAGAACAGCCACACAATAACACCACATAGTACAGGTCTGCCTGTACTGTGTGCCTAGCAACGAGCAGGCAGACCTCTTTCTAGATCCAGGCTTTCTAGATGCCAGTTTTATTCATTACTGACATTAAGTCATCTAGCTAAATATTATTAAAAGCAATTAATATGAATAGAAAGAGCAAAAATAATCTGATGTCTCTATAAAAGCCATATTAAATGCATTGCAGAGAGGCTTCAATAAAAGATCGCTTTTTAAAAATGCTGTCATATTAAGAGAGCAAGATAAATGTACAAGGACAGAGGAGGGAAATGATCAGAAAAAAAAAATCTAGAAGGATGCTGATCTCAGATTGCTTCCTACGTTTCTCCCCTCACTTAAGGAACTGAAACTAAACATTGTAAAGGATGCCGTGTGGATGCCACTTGGGGGTGAGAGCCAGGGAAAAACTTTAATCACAGGTTCCAACTCAAGGACAAAGTCTTGATCTCCTTCACGAGGCTGATGAACTAGTGTATAATTATGAATTTCACATTTAAATAAAATCTATAAAATTTGTATAAACTCTATTATTATTTCCTACCTTAAATGACCTTTTTTCCCATTGGGAAGAGGTGGGGATGGGAGGGGGGGCATTAAGGGTTTTATTTTGATCTAAGAAGAAGAATTTCATTTTATTATATAAGAAGATAGCACATGGGGATTTTATCAAGGTGATTTCTTCTTTCTTTTGTCGTCAGGCCGATCCCCACTTTGAAAGACACAGAATGATTTTGATAAGTCTTCCTTGTGATCTTCCCATCAGTTGGCATCAGCTTTCATTTCTAGGTCAGATGGCACACGGTTCTCTTCCCTGCTAAAAGTCACTCCCTCAAAAGACACAATAAAAATAAGATGGAGTATGGTCTTTTAATCTTGGGGTCATGAAAGAAATGCTGAGAGATGGGATTCAAACTACTCCCAGATGACACATCACAACTTGAGGAGCGATGGGGTATATGGTCCTCGTGAGGGAAGCTCCCTCTTGGAGAACCATCAAGGCACGTCACAGATAGGACCAGGAACACAGATTATCCCTCTGGTGCAACCTATTCCATTACATTCTGGAAGATAAAACATGGCGACACGTTTCACGCTCTATCTTCATTAAGAGAAGCTGTTTCCATGTAGGAGTTCAGGGATGATTAGCGTGATGATTCCGGGCTGTCTAGGCTGTCAAAATGAAAAATTCCCCCCACCACAAATGGGTCTCCATGTAGCTGGTCCTAATAGGTCACCTTTCATGATTTAGCAACTAAATCTGGTTATTGTAGCTTAGGTGACTGGAGCAAATTAACCATACACCATCTCATCAGTTAACCTATAAAGGGAGAGGTCATATTTTTGCTCTAACACATACATGCAATGATCTGGATAGGGTTTGAGTGTGTCTTTCAAGGGTTAAGGTGTTGACAGCTTGGTCCTCAGTATGGCAGTGTTGGAAAGTGGGAGATCTTTAAGAGCTGGAGCCTACCAGAAGGTCACTGGGATGCTGCCCTTGGAAAAATGAATGCAGTTCTTATGGGATTCTGGTTACGTTTCATCAGAGAGTTGCTCTAAAACAGTGAGCTGAACTCTGACTCTCTCTCTGGTTAATTGCAGTCATATAGGATGAATAAGTTCAAAGGGCCCATTGTATAACATGATAATTATAGTACTAACAATATATTTATTTTAATCATTTTTAAAATATTAATGTGTTTATAGATGCATTATAATTATACACCATGCAGGATTCATGTGTTATAGTTGAAATTAAGAGCAAATTATAATTGTTCTCACCACAAAAAAAATGATATGTCAGGTAACATAGATTAATAAACTTGATTTAGCCATTCCACAATGTATACATATTTCAACTCATGTTTTACATCATAAATATATTCATATATAATTTGTTGATTAAAAATAAATAAATGCTTATCCGGATGGGATGATGTATACAGTAATCCCAGCAACTCAGGAGGCTAAGGCAGGAGGATCACAAGTTCAAGGTCAGCTTCAGCGACTGAGCAAGAACCTGTCTCAAAGTAAAAAATAAAAAGGACTGGAGATGTGGCTCAGTGGTAGAGCATCCCTGGGTTCAATTCCCAGTATGGAAGCAAATAAATAAATACCTAAAGAAAGAAAAGCAGTATGTGTAGCAATACGTAATAGAGAAAAAAAACTCTTCAATCTTTAATGAAAGTCATCATTTGAAAACAGAGTTCGAGAACATATTCTTAGTAAGAACTTCTTGTTGTTTTACAGTTTTCTGCAAATAAGGTAAAATCTATAGTATTCCTGAAACAGCATAAATAAAATAAGTAGGATTATGTTTCATATTTACCAATAGCCCTTTTTCTATAAACTAACCTCCATGCAGTTCCTACAATATAATCACCATTACAGAATTACTTAACTTTTTCTACATGCAGCACAAATAAAATCCTTCATCAAAAAAAAATTTTTTTGAGGGCTTATCTAGCTACCTACTCTATTCCAGAATTCTGACATATGAAAATTTTTTGCAAAGTAGAAAGTGCTCTTCAAATATGAATAGCTCTTTCTCAGTCTGAGCAGCCATTCCCCAGTCTGCTGCTTCCTTACAGTGGTTATTGGCTATCCTTGAGAAAGAAAGAGAATCTAATAAGTTTCAGAGGTTATACAGAATCCTCAGCCACTTCTACCCTTTGTAAGAGAATCATATAATATTCTCATTGTACCCGCACTAAAGGCAGCAGCAGATCCTTCTCGGTGGCCTAACAGGACAGAATGCTGGTTAGGCAGCACCACCTAATGGCTGCTGGACAGAACCTGTGTCCTCTACCTTGAGAATGTGGGCTGCTATATCACTCTCTCATAGGTGGATTTTAGAATCAAGCAGGATAAGCATTCATGCTACTATGTCTACCAAGGTCAAAAGAGACACATTACCCAGACCACCTCCTTAGATGCTGGTAGAAATGTGACTGGACAGGTCAGCCTCATTAGAATTAATGACAACAAATTAGCCTACCCAAAGCTAATAGATCTAGGGCACCACAACTGTACAATGACATCCTGTGCTCTGTGGAAGACAACTCTTTTAATTCTTGCTACAGTCAAGGAAAAAGAAAATAAAAACTTACCATAAACCCTGCTATCACTTAGCATCTGTCTGAAAAAAAAAAGAACTTTAGGGGTAATTCAGGCTAAGGTTCACTTTCTAAAGATTAACTTCAAAAAACGTAATAATAAATGATTGAGATGAAGGATGATGTCCCTTTTCATTTTTAGATATAGGTCTAGAAAAAAAAAAAAACAGATTTTCAACGTTGTCACCCTAACCATGAGTCATCACTTAGAAACAGTAACATCCCTGTGCACAAAAAAGAAGAAACAAAGGGTGTTGTCTATTAGGCTAGTCCATAAACATTTGTGATGTCATTACTTCCAGTTATTTTTCTGGGGAAAAAAAAAAGAATTACCAAATCAAATAAACACCTAACCTTCCTCCTCTCTCAGGCTCCCTCACTGCTGCTGAATCTGGCCTTTGTCTTCAAGGTTTTCAATTCCTTGACCTTTATTTCCTCACTGAATCCCTTACTACTTTTGCCCATTTTCTCAGTCACACTTTCATCAGGATCCTAGTTTTTTTTGGAATCTATTACCCACCTCCACACTCTCCTTTCCAATTTTTAATCTCACGTTAGTCCAGTCCGCCATTTTGCTTTTGATCACCATCTTGAACACCAAGCCTTACCAGGTGACTGAGTGGGAGTGTGTTGCGGGGGCAGAGGCAGCAAATTGAATGGGCTGGATCTGCAACATGTCCGTGCTATCTCATTTCACCTTAACTCCATCCACTGGGCAATCCTGGTCATTGTCTCTACTGGTTTCTATCAAGCTTCCCTTTTGGGCTCTTCTGGTTCTTTCTCCCTTCTCAAGTCCTCATCACCACAGCCAAATGACTTCAATCTGAACTCTCTCATTATCCTCCCTTAAGTTCCAACTTCCCCTGCTTCTCATTCTTTCCCCCTTTAAGCCACTTTCAATCAGAAATGTCCTTCACAGATAGCCTTGTCCCTCTTCAGGTACTTAATCTGAGGATCATTTCCTTTCCTCAAATCTTCTCTCTCTCTCTCTCTCTCTCTCTCATCTTACTTCTTTGGTTAAAAATACAGCTCTTCCTTTGAACCTCTTTTTTCATCAAGACAAAATTTCATCTGCTGTTTCTTCTTTGCCAAACTTCCAGAAAGAATAGCTGGAACTCACTGCCACCATGTCATTTGATCTCTTTAACCCTCTAGTCACTGACTATTGGGTTTTTCCATCACTAATCACTCCTCCCAGTTACCAAATCCAGAGGCCTATCTTTGGGTCTCTCATTCTTCTATTTCTTCTCAGTATCCAGCCCTGCTATCATCTTCTTCATGAAACCCATTCCTATGCTGACTTTCAGAAACACATGTTTACTTTACTTTTGTTCCTGAACCCAAATTGTTCCTCCCAGTCCCCACCCTTCTGCCTTGATCATACCTCCAAGGTAACTGAGCTCTTATGTGCCCAACATGGGGAAAACATAAGAGAACAAGGCAAACAAAAATCCTTACTGGGCAGAGACAGAATATAACATAGTAATCAGGAAAATTATTTTGTACATTATAAGGTAAAGCAGATATGATCATTCTTTCTCTTAGAGATGAGGAAATAGAGACTAGCATGAATAAATAATTTGCACATGTTGGGATTCCTCCAATCCATCCTTCTGACTGGAGTCCACACTGAAGTAGTCCACACTGGAGTCCACACTGGAGTACCCACTGTGCTGCACAATATCACCAACATCACCAATGCCCAAGCAAACACCTCTTCTCTCAGGTAGAACAGGTGTCTGTCCAGCAGACCTGACTCTTCCTCTGAGTTTTGCCTTTCCTTAGTGCTCACTGGCTCTTCAGGACCCTGAGACCACCATGCTTAGCCCCAGTAGCAGATTCTCTCCATTAAAATCCCAGCCCAAGAAAGAAAAGAACTCATCTAGAATTGATTTTGTTTTCCTTCACTCACCTAACAAAGACAGAAAGGGAATTTTTAAAAAATGTCAACATTTAAGGAAGACTTTAACTTCAGAGTACAAATAAAGCATATAAATTATACAAAAAAAAATAGGTATATGTGCAGCCAACCATATGGAGTACAGGTTTCTGATATAGGCATAAATACCTAAGTGACTTGCCCATTCCATCCCTCCCCTGCTTTTGGAAAACGTCTATAGAGAAGATCACCAAGGGTGTACCATGTTATCTTCCAGATGAAGGGCACAGTAGAAGGCTAGGTGGATGCCACTGTACCCCCATGACCTAGTCCTTTCAGATACAAGTTATTAGCTCCTTCTTTCAATAGGGCACTTATCACATCTCCATCCCTTACCCCCATTCCCATTAAACTATGGTCTTATGAAAGTCTACAATTAAGAGTTCTCAGCATAATGACAACTAAACTAGATGGGAATCCCTAAAAGTTAGTTTAGTTCAATTAAACAATTATTGAGTCCCTACCGTATGCTGGACCCTGTACCTGGCACTGAGTGGACAATCAATGTTGACTGAATGAATAAACAAGTAACTAAGTAAATCCTTTGCTGCGTTCTGTGGCCATGCATCCCAGTCCTCAAGGATCAAGTTCAGCTCCCTTGCTGAACCAGTGTACAGACAAAATGTAACGTGTTCACAAATGAGCTCTTGGCCAGCCCACTAGTGCTGGTTCAGGAAGCCAAGACAAGAGGATCACAGCATAAGGTCAGTCTGGGTAGCTTAGCCAGACCCTGCCTCAAAATAGAAATAAAAAGACTAGGGATGCAGCTCAGTGGTAGAGCACCCCTGGGTTCAATCCACAGCACTCACTTCCTTACCTCCTTAGATTCCTATTCTCGTGTTACCTGAGTCATTTGCAGCTCCCTTCCCAGAGGCTCCCTCACCTACCAAGTCCATGGCCTCCTCTCCCTTCCCACCACTATCGTCCTAGGTCAGGATCCCATCATCTCCCATCTGAACAGGTGCAGAAACTTCCTTGGCCAGACATTCCAGCTCCAGGCTATTCTGCCCCCTACCCATGCCGCTGACTCTCCACCTTGCACCCCAAATTATCTTTCTTATTTCTGAGATCATTATCACATCAACTCCCTTTTTCAAAAATGTTGATAAGCACCCCACCTTCCCCAACTCTGGTGGCCATAGCCATCCACGATGAAGTCCCAGCCTCCATCTCGAATCTTACCCAAACCACACTCCTTTATCCTACCTGGCCTCCGTACCCACTCACCCCAGGCTCAGCAGGTTGTTCTCTGCTCTGGAGCAGGACCTGCACTCTGCAGCCGCTGCATAAGCTGAGGTCATTCTGTCCTCCTCAAATGCCCTTCTTTTGATCTCTGCCTGGTACTGGTCTACATCTCCTCCAGGGCCTTATTCAAGTCCCTTCTTCCCCGAGGTATCTTTCTTCTTGGAAATATCCTTTACTTCCTTTGTTTCTCTTAATGCAATCCACTCGCACTTTTACTATAGAATATTTCACAGTGTTTCTGATGTTAGAATCATTCCAATCTGTCTCCCCTGTGGGATTTCGAGCCCCGGGAAATCTTTGACTCAATCGAACTCATCCATGTAATCCCCATGGTACTCAGCCCAGTCATAGCTGAATTGGTTTGGTAATTAAATATTTTCTCTATAACTAAAATGAACATAGAATGCTGCTAATGAGGAATGACTGAGGTTTAAAGATGATTTTAAAAGCCCTTAAAAGATCTTGAAAGTAAAGAGAAAGGAACAATTTGTTTTGCATGAACAGAAGTGAGTATCTTAATCACAGACTGTCTCATACACAGTCTTCCAAGAAAACCCCTACACTTTTTCTACAAATGCAAAGTTGTATTCACAGGGG